GGGCGCATTTTTCTACTCTTGCCCCCGGGCGCCAGAACCTCTAGCTACGCCACTGGGTGTGTTATCTCAATCTTCCCCACTTTCGGCCCCCTTCCAGTCCTTCAAGAATGGTAAGACTATCTGAATTTGATGTAACTGAATTTTAAAGTTGTTGGAAAATGTGTGACAACTTCTCCCGTACGGGCTCGGATATTAGTTGGGACACAGTCTTTTACATTTAAAACAAAAAAATTTCTTTAAAAAAACGCCGCAACTTCTGTAGACCTAGCTTATTTAATTTGTGTATACAGCTACTTCCAAATTTATCCTATGTGTAAATTTTATTATCGTATTAGCTGTTTCAATAAATAAATCTGTAACTACATTTTCATAGGTCATTAAATACAGTATATACCTTTGCTTCTTTATTGTTAAGGATAGGCCTAACTTTTTAACCACAATATGCATAGGCCTAATACTGTATATGAATAAAAGATTATTTTTTAAATAAAATTTATGTTAAAATAAAAAAAAAATGATAAAAACGAATACGGAATTATCAAAGGGTGGGTTATAAGATTCTTCCTGTGGCTGTGCCCCACTTTACGTTGTAATCCCATATGATAGAATTATTAAGCTGTCACCTAGACTCAAGGCTCGACCACGTTGATAACCTTTAGAGGTTTCATCATCAGATATTGTCGGTCAACTGCTGGGAAAATTATTCAGGATGTCGACGCCAAATCTTTTTCTTTTTTTATGTTGCACCATTTCACTCTTTCCCAATAATTATACCGATCTCATCTCTTAATCTTTTACGTTGTTTTAGTTTGTATGTTTTGCCATCCATGGGGTCTGCTGTTTGTATTTGTTACAAACTCCTGCTGACTAGGCCTACAAGGTAAATAACCAGAATGAAAACCACTGAGCCAAACCGCATTTTTACCATTATTGTTATTAATATTAATAATAATAATAATAATTTTAATATTATTTTTATATTTTGTATTCTTTCCACTCCCCACTAGTTGGCTAGGCCTTTTTAGTGGGGAGTTTGTGGGAAAGTAAGCCTCTCCCTCTTCCCATACATAAACTTGTGATTCAAACACACAATTGATCCACATGCTTTAACTACTGTTTATTTGCACTGTTTATAACATGTAAAGTTATTTCATTTGAAAAGTGAATTTTGTTGTTATCTATGAGTTGCATATTTTGGGAGTTGAAGTACTGTATGTATGTCATTCCTCTACATTGTTAGTGGAATAACGTTTTTAAAACTTTTATTTCTACTATAAAAAAATGTTATTCAATGGCCATTTTCCAATAATTTCTCAGTATTATTTGCATCTGTTGTGCCTGTATTTTTTTATTTATTCAATTCTTGCTTATAACAGTATTTAAATATTTGAAGATTTAAAGTATCATTTCTATTACTGAATTTTTTCATTATTGGGCCATTTTTACTTACTTGTCATTTGGGACCATTTTTACTGGGGCCATTTTTACTGGGGCCATTTTTACCGGGGCCATTTTTTCCTGGACCATTTTTTCCTGGGCTATGTTTACCAGGGCCATTTTTACCTACAATGTAGGTAAAAATAATAAGCAAGAATTATCCATTCTCTAGCACAGGCTCGGGTACATGTTCGTACCATTTTTGATTGACAACAAAACCCTCCTATCTACAAACTCCCAATGATTTTTCTTTCCAACCCAGTCATGTATTCTTTTATATTCTTTTTGTGTTAAATTTGGGCATTCGCTCACAATATGGTTGATAATTTCATCCACCTGCCTACACATTCGACATTTACTTTCTTCTTGGAGTTTGTAGCCTATACTTTAGCTTTCATACGGTTTGTTGCTGCAACTAGTGCTTGTTCCTGTGCTGCCATAATAAAGCTCTCAGTCTCCCTTTGTATGTTTCCTTTTTTTAACCATAACCAGGAATCATTCCCTCTCACCTCTTCCATCTGTCGCATAAATTGCCCGTGCATAACCTTCTCTCTCCATTGCTCCTTTCTTCCAATTTCCTTTCTTATCTTATAGTCGTTCTCTGTTTCAGTGTTGCTGGATCTGGTGCAGATTTTTCGGGTAGAATTTATCAGTCTTTCATCACTAACACTGATGTATCTTTCCAACACCAAGATGGCAAGTTCTACACAGTCTTCAACATTGATTAATCCTCTTCCACTCTCGATATAATATGTAAATACGATCCTCGTTACTCTTTGGATTATGCATTGTAAGTAGTTTCCTAGTCTAAATCTTGTATTTCAGCCTTTCTCCATTCTATGTACGCAGCAGAGTATCTCAACAGAAATATAGCCCAAGTATTAATCGCTTTGATGATGTTGTTTCCGCTTAGTTTTCGTTTTAAGAATCTTACGTACCACGATCCTTTTGTATTCTTTAGTTACTATTTCTTTCATCTCTTTGTACTTAATGCTTCTAATATGCCCATATATTTTTAGGTATCCCTGTCTTTCAATCCTTTAATGGTTTTGTCGTCTGGCAATTGTAATCTCTGCTTTTTCTGATTTACCTCTCTTTATTACTAATACCAAAGCGTATATAACTCTTTGCTTATACAGCACATTTTTCTATTCCAAATTCCATTCCTATTTCTTGACTAAACACCAGCACTGTTTGGATCAATGAATCTAAACCTTTTTCGTTTTTAGAGAAAAGCTTTAAGTCACTCATAAACAGGAGGTGGTTAATGCTTTCCCCATCACTATAAAATCTGTAAACTGGTCAGATTTTCTTAAAATGTGTTTCAACGGTATTAATGCAATCACAAATAACAATGGCACTCATCTCGAAAGATTTACTGGGTTCTTTTAAGTGCACACGAGCCAAGTTGGGATACGCTAGGCCTACGGTTTATTTGAGAATACTTGTTGCACCACCAGAACCATAAAGCGTGTGCCGTTCGAACATGTAGTGTGATGGCCTAGCACATGGAAATACACTTAAGAAACATGTGAACACTATTCAAATCCGCAATAGGAATATCTTCAAACCAGTCGACCCCATCCCGGGACTGTGGTTATATATTTGTATTTGTTTTAATACATTTCATTTTTTTAAAGTTGTCATGCTGTTTGTGGAGTAGGGGGGAGGGGAGGGTTGACCACAATTGCGTCTGGCACCAGCGGGACCCCTCTCCCCGCGGTGTCCGACGGATAAAAAAAAAGACAAAATAATTTGGCCACAATGGCCTGTTACCAAAACCCTCAGGGTTCTGCACCTCGAACAGGGGTGAGTTTTTGTTGATGACTTTAGCATTTTAAATGACCCCAAAATCCACACCTAAATCCGGATTCTCACCAAAATTTATTAAATTCTTTATTGTAACTTGGTTACCTCTTTCAGAAAGTTTCATTCAGATCAGTTGATTGGTTGAGACATCTGGTCTTGGACGTTTCTTTTTAAATGGTCTTACTCATCCAGTGGCCGAATGTGCAGATCAAGTTGCGATGATGATGATAATAATAATAATAATAATAATAATAATAATATTAATAATAATAATAATAATGATGATAATAATAATAATAAATAATAAATAATGGTAATGATAATGATAATGACGTTGATAATCATTCTGATAATGATCATTAATGATAGGCCTAATGATAATAATGATAATAATAATAATAATAATAATAATAATAATAATAATAATAATAATAATA